TCCTGGTTAACATTTTTGAAGAATCCAGAAAGCACTAAGAGCTATTAAGTCAGACCAGATGTCTGGAGAATTTTTAAATCTTCTTAATATTGATGCCAGCATGATTTCCCAAAGATGGGTTCAGAACTGCTCTCCTTGAGTGGTTCTGGCTGCATAGATTAAAATGAGGTAAACCCATTATAGCTTTAGTGTGGCTGACTTTGAAAGATTTGAAAAATGTTCTTTTATTGAGACTGAATAGCTGGATGCACTTTTGCTGCCAACATCAACACAGTCCAGGGCCCTCCTGTTATTTTCTGCTAGAGTTTTCTTAGGACATGGAATGGGGTGGGGGTGGGGGTGTGAAAAGCCTCCAAGGATTATGTGTTGCTTGCCTTTTTTTGTGTTTTTCCTGGTCTTGGCTCATAGAGCAAGTTGATGGTAAACATTGGGCAATTTATTTAACCACACTATTCCTTAATTTCCTTATTAGCAATGCTGTCTTGTTTATAAGAAGTTTTGGAATGTTTGCAAGCGCACAAAACACTGGTGCAAATAGCCAATGTAGATATCATATTGCTAATCTACTTGATGTCTCTGCAATTGTGGAGACCACCTGCATCAAACTCACTTGGCATGTTTATTAAAATGCATATTCCCCCAGGCCCAACCCAAACCTTCTGAATTCAAATCACAAGGGGTGCAACCAATAATCTCCATTGTAAAACAAGCTCCTGGAGTGATTTTGATACACTGTAAAGCATCCTTTTGAGTATTTGCCTTCTTCTGTTAAGCCTGAGATTGAACTAGAGGGTATGGTCACCTAAAAATCCCCTGGTATTTTTCAGGGTTTTCTGGATTGACACAGTCTCAGCCATTTTCCCCAGAGCTACTGCATATTGTGATTGAATTATTCATTTAAAAAATATCTGAAGGTTTATTTTGCCAATCCTTGTCCTCAAAATGTAGACAATCTGGTAGGATGTTGAAGAATAACAGTTCATAGTCAGAGGTGGGATAAAATTAATACTCAGGCTTCCAAAAGTAAAAGAATGAAGCCAGTGAGCATTAATCTCCCTGCTTTCAGTTTAATGTTGGACTTTCCCTAGGAGACCCAGAACTGAGGTCCTGTTCTTGATTTGGCCACTGACTCAGCTCTGACCTTGGGAAAACCATTTAATCTTTCCACACAGTTTCCCTCCACAATATATGCTTTCTCCATCATCACAAAATATTTTCCAGAGGAACTGTTTAGTTTATTAGAAGGAAAGTTGTGTTATGGTAACCATATATTATGCAACCAAATGTAATTTATGAAGCAGCAATAGCTTTAGATTATGGATTGGTAATGGTGATTATGTCTTATGACTGAAGAGGAACAAAAAAGGTTGTCTAGTCCTTCCCTTTGTGTTGAGAACTGGAAAGAGCATTCAGGCTTGTGGATTTACTGGATAAGCTTCAAGAGTACCTGCAAAGATACTACAGAAATGGCAAAGAGACATTCGAAGTTCCTGTTTGTCTACTCAGAAACCTGGGAGAATGAAAGAACTGCTGCCAACTCCTAGCTTTGTTTCACCACCTGCCCTGGATAGATGATACTACTGTATCACACTTAACATCACATTTGCCACCTTTTCTTGAACTGTTTCACTGCCTTGAGACCTGTTAATGGTTCTACTGAGGCAAAACAAATTACCACAAATTTAGCAGTGTAAAACAACACACATTTATGATATCACTATTTTCATGGAGCAGGCATCCAGGCACAGCTGAGCTGGGTCTTCTGCTCGTGGTCTCACAGGCTGAAATCAAGCTGTCAGTGGGGCTGCATTCTCATCTGAAGGACCAACTAGGGAAGAATCTGCTTCCAAGTTCCCTTGGGTCGTTGGCAGCATTCATTCTGTGCAGCTGTAGAATTTGTGGTAGCTTCCTTCTTCAAATTCAGCAACAGTTCTCACTCAGAGAGACTCTCACTGAGTCTCTCTTGATTTCCATAAGAAATCCTAAGGCTTTAAAAGATGAATGGACTTTGCACCCATTACAATAGCTATTATAAAACAAACAAACAAATGAGAAAAAAAAACAAGAAATAAGTGTTGGTGAGGATGTAGAGAAATTGGAACCCTTGTGCACTGTTGATGGAAATGTAAAATGTTGCAGCCACTATGAAAAATGCAGTATGATGTTGCACTTCTGTGTATATCCCCCAAAAAACTGAAAAGAAGGACTTCAAGAGATAATTGTACACTGATGTTCATAGGAGCATTATTTACAATAGTCAGACGGTAGGAAAAAAACTCCTTTTCATCGATGGATGAATGGATAAAGAAAATGTGATATATACATACAATGGAATATTATTCAGCCTTAAAAAGGAAGGAAATTCTGACCCATGCTACAACATGAACCTTAAAAATATTATGCTAAGTGAAATAACCCAGTCACAAAAGACAAATATTTTAAGATTCCACTTATATGAAGTACATAGGGCAGTGAAATTCGTAGAGACACAAAGTAGAATGGTGGTTTCCAGGGGCTAGGGGGAGAGGAAATGGGAGTTACTATTTAATGGATACAGATTTCAGTTTTGCAAAATGCAGAAGTTCTGAAGATGGATAGTGATGATGGTTGCAAAATAATGTAGGTGTACTAATGCCATGGTACTGTGCACTTAAATATAGTTAAAATGGTGAATGTTCTGTGTATTTTATCGCAGTAAAAATATTGAAAAGTTAATCAGGCAAGAGAGATGAAACAGGAAATGTGAAAAGCAAGACGCGTGGGGGAAACATGCTCAACCTTATCGGTAACCAAAGAAATGAAAATTTCAAAATAGTATTGTGGTATCATCTGTTAGTCTAATTGGATAATAAATGTTACTTGTCTAACACACACAGTTTGGCATATACTTATATTCAAAACATATTCCACTTTTCTGCTTCCTCCTCCCCTACCCCTGGAACAGAGCTAAATCTTTATGTAATATTTTTATTCCAATGTTTCACAGATGATAGATTATAAACCACTCTGAGGACTCTATTTTAGTATACAAGTTGAGTTTTTAAATAAGGAAAACCTTTTCTTGAGGCTCCATTTGGGTTCCAGGCTAAGGATATCAGTTGCAATTCTGAAATGATTATTGTATCAAAAAAGGGTTTGCCTGCAAAGATTCATTAGATGCTTTCCACCAATATATCCCAGAGTTTATAGTACTAGGAGTGGGTGAGTCGGTACTATCTCTATACCCTGAAACTGATACAGTTTGAGTATCCCTAGTCAAAAAATTTTAAATCTAAAATGCTCCAAAATCCAAACTTTTTGAGTGCCGACATGATGCCACAAGTAGAAGATTTCACACCTGACCTCAAGTGACAGGGTGCAGTCAAAAACGCAGTCAAAACTTTGTTTCATGAACCAAATTATGTAAATGTTGTATAAAATTACCTTCAGTCTGTGTATGCAAGGTGTATATGAAACGTAAATGAATTTCATGTTTAGACTTGGGTCATATTCCCCCAAAATATCTCATTATATATATGCAAATATTCCAAATTCCAAAGAAATCCGAAATCCAAAGCACTTCTGGTGACAAGTATTTTGGATAAGAAATACTCTATCTATATTCTTACAATCTAACAGATCCCCTTCACATTCCTGTTTTTAATAAGCCATGTGGCCATACACCTGCTTTATTATCCTTTTATTATCTCATCGTTCTCATGGGTCATTACTCTTTGTGGCAGTTCACTGAAGCCAATTAGAGTCAAATCTTGTTGATAGGAATGAAATGTAGCTAACAATACAACTATTATTAATTGGTCAAACACTACGAGCCAGTCATTCTGTTAAGCATGTTTCTGTTATTTCACTTAATCCTCACATCCTTCTGAGACAAGTTATATAACCACCCTTTTAAAGGTGAGAAATAGGGGCTCAGAGTTTTAATAACTCACTCCAAATCACACACTTGTTGGTAGAGCTAGAATCCAAACCCAAGTTATGTCCAACTGCAAATCTCTGGTCTTCCCACTACATTACACTGCATCCAGGAATATTAATTATATTTATTTCATAAGGAAAAGGGATTTATTAGAGTATAAGTATAAACATGCGACTTTGTAGAAATAGCCTGTTAATAATTATAGTTCCTAAAATTTCTTATTCATTCAGGAGTATTTTTTTAAGTCAAAGTTATGTAGGTCCCCCAAACAAGCTGTTGTACATTCAGAATAGAATGTTTCCTATTTCATGTCAAAAGTGCAGATTTGCTTCCTGATAAGATGTACTATTTGGAGACTGTCTATTTTTTATTGTGATTCAGATGCAAATAACAGGAAAACATATTTTTTTCCTATCTTGACAAAAGAAGTATTTCTAAAAAAGAACACTTAATGTAATGATTTAAATTGCTTGTTTTGTTATTGTGTATTGGGAGAAAGCAAATTTTAATACAGAATTCAAAGAAGTAACAATGGCCTACTGAGTTAGAAAAGTCCAGCCAGGGAATTTCCCAACACTCTAAGCCATGAGGCGGACCCTCAGAGACACTGACTGCTCTTCCCTCTCCAAGAAAATGAAAAAATGCCTAACTTCAGAGTATTGAAGATACACTCAGGCATATGCCAACTCAAAATGAACTACTTTGCAAGGCCTTATGTCCATGTATTAGAAAAACAATCTAACATCAAAAGAGAAACTAAAACCAAACTTGTCTTTGTAATCCTTAGACCACTCAATAAATGGTCATTTATATGTAATATAGCTTTTAAATGTTGGTGAAATGTAAATAAAGTATTTTTTTAAATATCCTCTTTTCCTTAGAGAAATTCAGTTCTGAATTTTTAAGGTCAAAATGTTTTCAAAGATTTTTGAAAATGAGTGTGAAAATTGGCAACAAATAAATTTGAATGTGAAAGACAGTCATACACACACAGACACACACACACACACACAGACACACCCCACACATTTTCATTTCACTCGACCTGTTCTAAACTATGTGCTGTTTCTTGTGTTTTCAGAGCGCACACATGTTTTAACCGTCTGGATCTGCCCCCCTACCCATCCTTTTCCATGCTTTATGAGAAACTGTTGACAGCAGTTGAAGAAACCAGTACTTTTGGACTTGAGTGACCTGGAAGCAGAATGCCCATCTCTGTGGACAGGCAGTTTGAGAAGCTGCCTTCTAGAAGAATGACTGAACATTGGAAGTTTCAAGAGGATGGTTCCTTTAGGATAATGCTACGTGCTGTTATTTTCCAGGAACAAGTGTTCTGTCACATTTGGGGACTGGAGATGAGTCCTCTTGGAAGGATTTGGGTGAGCTTGATGCCCAGGGAACAACCCAACCGTCTTTCAATCAACAGTTCTTGACTGCCAAACTTTTTCCATTTGTTATGTTCCAAGACAAAGATGAACCCATACATGATCAGCTCCATGGTAATTTTTAGGGACTCAGGAGAATCTTGAAACTTACCCTTGAACGTGGTTCAAGCCAAACTGGCAGCACTTGGCCCAATCTTCAAATTAGTGCAAGTTAAATAATATAATAAAAGTAAATATATTTCCTGAAAGTACATTCATTTAAGCCCTAAGTTATAACAGAATATTCATTTCTCACTTATGAGTGCCTGCATGGTGTGCACCATAGGTTTCCGCTTTCATGGGACATGAGTGAAAATGAAACCAAGTTAATATGAGGTACCTTTACAGATCTGCAATAAGATGGTCTGTGACAATGTATATGCAAGTGGTATGTGTGTAATTATGGCTAAAGACAAACCATTATTCAGTGAATTACTAATGACAGATTTTATGCTTTATAATGCATGAAAACAATTTTAAAATAACTAGCAATTAATCACAGCATATCAGGAAAAAGTACACAGTGAGTTCTGTTTATTTTTTGTAGGTTCATTATGTTTCTGTTCTTTAAGATGTATATAAGAACCTACCTATCATACTGTATGTATCACTCGTTCCATTTTCATGTTCCATGCATACTCGGGCATCATGCTAATATGTATCCTTTTAAGCACTCTCAAGGAAACAAAAGGGCCTTTTATTTTTATAAAGGTAAAAAAAAATCCCCCAAATATTTTGCACTGAATGTACCAAAGGTGAAGGGACATTACAATATGACTAACAGCAACTCCATCACTTGAGAAGTATAATAGAAAATAGCTTCCAATCAAACTTCCTTCACAGTGCCGTGTCTACCACTACAAGGACTGTGCATCTAAGTAATAATTTTTTAAGATTCACTATATGTGATAGTATGATATGCATTTATTTAAAATGCATTAGACTCTCTTCCATCCATCAAATACTTTACAGGATGGCATTTAATACAGATATTTCGTATTTCCCCCACTGCTTTTTATTTGTACAGCATCATTAAACACTAAGCTCAGTTAAGGAGCCATCAGCAACACTGAAGAGATCAGTAATAAGAATTCCATTTTCCCTCATCAGTGAAGACATCACAAATTGAAACTCAGAACTATATTTCTAAGCCTGCATTTTCACTGATGCATAATTTTCTTATTAATATTAAGAAACAGTTTTTCTATGGCATCTCCAAAACTGCATGACATCACTAGTCTTACTTCTGCTTAATTTTATGAGAAGGTATTCTTCATTTTAATTGCTTTTGGGATTACTCCACATCTTTGTTTATTTCTTGACTAATCAGATTTTCAACAGAGTGAAATTAAATTGGGGGTCATAAAAGCATTGGATTAACATATGGTTTGCCAGCCTATGGGTTTATAGGCATTGCCCAAACATTTCTTTGAGATCTATATTTATAAGCAGCCATGGAATTCCTATTATGGGATGTTGGCAATCTTATATTTTATAGAGGTCATATGCATAGTTTTCATAGGTGTTTTGTAAGAACTGATTGCTCTCCTGTGAGTTAAGCTATGTTTACTATTGGGACCCTCAAGAGGAATAGCACTTACGTTACACTCCTACACCAAAGGCATGCACTGCAGTGTGAAGAAATGTTCTGAAAAAGGGTTATAGAAACCTGGAAATAAGAAAGGAAGAGCTCTCTGTATACTATAATTGGAAGAGAAAAAAAGAAAAAAATTTTAACTGGAAATGTTAGTTTGTACTTATTGATCATGAATACAAGTATATATTTAATTTTGCAAACTGTTTTCACTTGTTTGTATTCTTTTCATGATAAGGAAAAGTAGTATAACACACTTTTTTTTAAGGTCACATCTTTGATGGTATATAAGATGTTTCAGGGCTGGCATTCTCTAAGCAGCAGATAAAGGTTGCATTTCTTTCAAAAACACATTCAAAGACCATGTTAGCATTCAGTTTGGTTTGAGACATTTAGTTATGTTATTTCATATTATTAGGTAAAAGAGATTTGAAATAAAATGTATCTCCTTAATTATTTCTAACAAATCTATTTCTTTATTAAGGCATCCAAATTTTCCCAAATAACAGTACACTTTAATGTATGTAGACATTCTTAATTAGTATAATCATCTAGCCGATACTGTTCTCAGATTGGGAATTATCAAAGATGTACTTAGCATATCAGAACACCATGCTAACTTATCTATTATTCTTTCTTAGTAAAACAAAACAGCCAGTAATAACTATATAAAATATTAAATAACATTTCCACAGAATAACTTAGACTTTCATATACTCTACAATTAGAAATATCCATAAATATTTTCTTCTGGACTGTGAGCTCAGATCACTAGGCTTTCTGGTCTTGTTTTAAGTGATGCTTTTTATACTATAGAAGACACTCTTAATACATCATATATGTATGCAGAACGTCTCTTAGATGAGGGAACAAGCACATCACTGGCATTCCCTCTGTGCCAGTTTGATGTTTGCTTGACGATGGAGCTACAAGAGTCTAAATCTGCCCTTGAAAAGCTCAGTTCACAGTGTAGTAGGGTAGACCCCAAAGTTCAAAAAAGTGTTTTTAATAAAATTTGGTAAGTTCTACAATCAAGGAATGAAGAGAGAAGATAACAGCTTTTTCCACCTGGGAGATTCAATAATGGCTTCATATATAGATGATAGTGTGGCTAAAAAGCAATTATATCAATGCTGTTTCTATTGGGAAGTAATGGCAAGTAATAGTGTGTCAATACCGGTCAAGTGTTGAAGCCAGGATGCACTTACACAACGAGAGTGTAAAGTGTGTAGGGAGCTGATCTGTGAAGGAGCAACTCAAGGATTTTCAAATTATCAACGAAATGCCAAAATTAAGTCAGGTAGTTTCCCTGTTTCCCTTCATCTATTCTACAATGTACCATTGATTTTCAGTGTGAAAAATCCCAATCCCTGAGCCCAAACCACTTCTGGGGTCAAAACATTTTTCTTGTGCACAAAATGAATGGATCTTGGTCAAAGAAGTATGATCCCAATTTTCTAGCATATATTGTGTTTATAATTTAGCAGAAATTCTGCAATAAATAAAGGAAAATCTGTTTTACCTGTGCAACAATCAGAAATGGTAAAAATGCATTCAAGTGTTTGAAAGTAATGGTAGAATATGCTTGCATAGTGCTTTATAGTTTCAGAGTACTTTCAGGTGCATCGTCCGTTTAGCTCCTCATGCACTTTGTAGGGTACAAGCATCATGTTCCATCTGGGTTGAGGCTGATTTTCATGGATGGCTTGTGGCATCAGTTTCATTACTTCATAGTCACAATTCTGTGTTTCATCTTGAGAAATGTGGAGACTAATGTTTGTACCAGTATATTCCACATTCAGTGAGGTTTCCAAGATGCTTCCTCCAAACTCTCACTTTCTTAAACAGACACATTTAAAATGTGACACCTTCTGTAAAGTCCACGAAGAAATTAGTATATTCATGGAAAAAATTTCCCCATAGACTTATTTGCATTTCATGACTTGACATGAGAAATTTTAAAAACAGAAGGCAAAATGTGATTGCTTTTGATGGATTTATACAGAATAGTCGTTTACTTTTCTCAAGTATTATGTGGAAACAAGATAATGGAAAACACTAATCAGAAGCCTTATTTTATTTTTTAATTTTTAATAGGGATGGATCTAGTAAGCCCTGATAGCTGAATTCCAGTGATATCCAAGAAGGAACCACTGCAGCTTCTCTTTTCCTCCCATCCTCCTCACATTCATCCTAGTGACTTTTTTCCTGACTTTCTGCACAAATTTTATTTATGATTTGACCACTTTTAACAAGGCAAATATCTTATCATGAAGATGGGAGTCTGTTCAATTTAGCCTTATTCAGGAAACTCCGTATTTATGTGAAATGATGCAATGCCATTATTAAGAGGTATCTGCAACCCTGCATAATAAAGACATGCATAAGAAGAATGTGGTCTAATCTCCAAACTGAGTCTGAGTTTCAGGGTCTTTTGCTTTTTTGTTTGTTTGTTTGAGACGGTCTGGCTCTGTCACCTAGGCTGGAGTGCAGTGGCACAACGTGAGCTCACTGTAACCTCCACCTCCCAGGCTCAAGCGATCCTCCCACCTCAGCCTCCTGAGTAACTGGGACTGCAGGCGCACACCACCACACCCAGCTAATTTTTGTATTTTGGTAGAGACAAGGTCTCAGTATGTTGCCCAGGCTGGTCTCAAACTCCTGAGCTCAAGTGATCCACCAGCCTTGGCCTCCCAAAGTGCTAGGAGTAATTACAGGTGTGAGCCACCGTGCTGGCAGTTGTTTTCGTTTGTTTTTGTTTGTTTATTTGTGATAAGGTCTGGCTGTCACACATGCTGGAGTGCAGTGGCATGATCTTGGCTCACTGCAACCTCCGCCTCCCAGGCTCAAGCCAGCCTCCCACCTCAGCCTCCAAGTAGCTGGGCCTACAGGCATGCACCACCATGCCCAGCTAATATTTTTGTATTTTTTGTAGACACAGGGTTTTGCCACATTGCCCAGGCTGGTCTTGAACTCCTGAGCTCAAGCAGTCCTCCCACCTTGGCCTCCCAAAGTGCTGGGATTACAGACATGAGCCACTGGGCCTTGCTGTTTTATCTGCTTTCTGATTTAGTAGGTGAGGGACAGCACTCTGGACCTTAGCCATTTTATTTCCATCTTACCGTAGTGAGTTTAATGAGAATGTCACTTTTAGACTCTAATTTTCCAAAACTTAGTTTCTTTCCGTTCATTTGTGTTTTCTAAATTAATTTGTTTGTCTAGTATGGATGCAAAGGAATGCCAAAGACATTAAAGCTTTCTGAATTGTGGCTTAAGGCCAGCTGCTGCCCACTGAAAGGGTGATAAAAATAAAAAGGAAAGAGGAGTCCAGCAGTTGTGCCGCCCCCCAAGAATGTAATGCTAATTACTGATCAACTGTCAAGATTCAGAGTGGTAACTCCATTCCAAGGAGCTGGCAGGAAGGAGGGGCGTGTGTGTGCTGTCCATATCATAGCCATCCGGGCCAGAAGGAGCAAAAAGATGGTTAGGACAGGAGTGCAGTGGAGGGAAAGTTAAAACAACGATGGATGGATCATCTCAGGGCATGCTGGTGGGGGTAGGAACATACTTCAACCTGGTTTCTGGCTGAGAAGAAGAAAGCTATACTCCCCGATGAAAGCACAGTTTGATCTACTTGATGGGAAATACTCTCATTTTATAGCTTCAGTAATTTAACATTTTCTGTATTGCAAAGTGGAATTTAGTCCCATAGTATAGCAGATTCAACAATTTAGCATGAAATTATGTTGTGGATTTTTTTTCATTTAAGAATTATTGTTACTATTATTGACCACCATGTATGAAATAAAAGAAAGCGTGTTTTTACTTCATTATACTTATTTGTTTTTTTAGCAGACATCTCTTGACATTAGAGTAGCATTTGAGACATTTTCATGATTTTTAAAGATAAATGCACTCTGTTAATCTGGAAAGCGAAATCCTAAGAGTGAGATTGCAAATGGAGACTGAATCAGTGTTTCCAAGTCAGGAAGTTAAGACCGAAAATACATTTGCTTAGATTTTATCTGCAAAGTCGCTTATTTGGCTTTCGTAATTGAACAGCTCAGCAGAATAAGATGGCCCTGGTTGTATGGTTTCTGGGGAACACAGGAAAGTTAAACTTATGTATGTGATTTTTATGTCTAGTGCACTTGGGCAGGTGATATCTTTCTGTCCGACTTTTAAGATATTACAACCTGAGGAGTGTGGATAGCCATGTTGTGTGATTCAAACTGAATCAGCTCTTACTGATGCAGGTAGGGAACCAGCAGTCAACTTCTGATTACTATCACCTTCGTAAAAAAGAATGGATGATGTTCAAGAATTATCTTGGAAGGATTAACCAGGAATTAACACAGAATGGGATGTTGTTTTAGGACCCTAATGCTCTAAAAGATGTAATTACAACCTATTTTTCTTTATATGATAGCATAAGTAAAATTTGGGGCTGTTAATATATTGGAAAGTGCTTAAAATTACATGTATTTATAATAGGGATGCAGGCATTCCAAAATAGATGAATAAAAATACATGCATCTCTCTCGCCTCTTACTGAAAGTATTAATCTAATTTTATAATAATGATTACTTTTTAATATTAAGGCTCTGTAAAAAAATTATTTCTAAGATTTCAGTAGAACACAGGTGGTGTATTTTTTTTTAATCTTTTAATTTCTCTTCACCAACCTCAGTCATTACGTTCACCACACAGTGTGTCACAGTTAATAGTGGTATTTCAGTTTTTGCATTGATTTAAGCTTCATATTTATTTAATGTGACTGTTAATGGAGAATAATAATGGGAGATGCTTGCTGTTAGCATTAGGGTTATACAGCTCTCCACCTTATATGTAATTTTTTTTTCAAAGTAAATCATGCAGATTGTTGACATCCTAGAAATGGTTTCTGGGTGGTACTATATGGGGCCTAGGACTCTAAACTGGGACTAGTTGTTTATTTTCTGGGAAGTCTGTATTCTTATTCTCAACGGAACCCCTGACTCTTTTGTTGTATTTTTTATGATTCCGAAATGCTTTGAGGGAAAGATATTTTAATGTGTACAATTTGTTTTATTTTCATACTGATCTCTATTTTTGTTTAAAACCATGTTGCATCATGAAATCACTTAATCCAAAATAAATCTTCTTTAAGAAAAATAGGTTATGACTTTTCTGTAATGCTTTTGGGGAGGGAAAACTCAGAAGGGAGGAGAATAGAAGTAGAGATAAAGATTTCATGGTGTTAGTTTGCAGCTCTATAAATATGGGAAGTTCTGTTTTCATAGTATTTACAATATTGTGTTTATTTTTATTTATATTTTTATTATTTATTAATAACATATTTGTTTATATTGTTTGGAATCTATTATGTTTATCCCTACAAGAATATTTTACTATTTGATGGGCTATTAATGTTAAAGGAATGAATTATAACACAAATCATAATTCCTTAACTCACATGGGTTGAGACTATTTGTTAAGCCATCTTAATTGAATATTTAATTTATAAACACATATGCACACCACTGCTGCTGCCACCACTACCATGCACATCAGTTTAATCTAGGGGTTGCATGTGCATATGCCTACAGGGACCAGATGGGTATTTAAGGAGTGAAATTGGCTAGGTGGAAGCAACACAGAGTGGTAGGGCTTACCTAAAGGGACATTCTAATATTTTGCTCCAGCAAATCCTAGCCACATGAAATTCCAGTCTGGTGTTAAAAGATCTGATATATCAAGGGAAAGCCACAAACTCAAATTTTTGTGTGCTATTTCCAGATCTTTTTAGAACTGAGTGGATCAAACCAAATATATCTACAGATTGATTTGCCCTGCACGTCACCAGTTTGGAACCCTTGTTTTAATGGATAACATTATCTTTTATATTTAGTTGACTAGTGGTGTAAATTGACCTGATACATAAAATGTTACTAAAACACGGTAGTTAATAAAAACAGATGGGGAAGGGAGAAAGGTGCATATATATATATGGCCATATATATGTGTATATATACACACACAAACTATGAGGGCAGTCAATCACTAAGGGATGCCCTTAAAAATGTATTTACCAACTCATGTTAATTTTTATGAATTAACTTGTGAAAACCAACTTGTGTTAATTCATATGAGTTAAGAGGAGCCCTGTCAAGATTTCATGGAATACATGTGTCATTAAGCTTCTTATTACATATTCTACACTAGAAATGAACTTCATATGTCACGTGAGAGCATTTAAAGCACAAGATTCATCTGCTATCACTGACAAGTCTGACATTGTTATTGAAGGGGGAAGAGCAAGATACTGATTCATAGCACTGACTTCCTGGTTTTTGTGCCATGACATCTCTCTATATCCTTTGACCTCAATGTGTTTTTAGAATGATAAATATATCTGCCTTCATGATTTCCTTTAATCCTGAACCCCATTTAATTAGTGAGAGTTTAGTAATAAATAATAATGGATAATTCCCACTATCCGCCATCCCAGGAAGTCTTTCATACTGTTCTTTATTTCATAC